CACGATTTTCAATATGACAATGACATGACGTCCACACGCTTTTAAAAATGACAGTGACACGACGTCCACATACACATGACCTGATGTGCGGCACACACCACTTCCCGCCCGACAATGACGTCACAACGATCACACGAATGTTTCACGGGATTTCAAAAATGTCCCCGACATTCCTAAATTGACAGTTACAAAAATTCCAATTTCACTCCCATTGTTGCCTCAGCAAACGGTGCGTTTCAACCCCCCCCCCTCTCCCTTTTACCCTCCCCCTCCCCTCCCCCTCCAAAAAAAACAAGTGGCAACTACATGAAGACTGCAATACGAAACAGGTGATGCGGACCTAGGCGCTGATCCAAACTAAGGCGATGGCATTTCCCATCTTCCCCCCCCTATGCCACCGGTAGACGAGTCTGCATCCCCGACGACTGTCCTATGTAAACGTTCGGCGATCCGGTCGATCTCGCGGCGGTTGGTGTCCGGAGATCTCCGAGTCCCCGGATTCGAGCATGGCCAACCATGGACCCCCGCACCGCCCACTGTCCTACGGCCATGGGAGCGGACAGCAGCTTCCGCTCCTTGCTGGCAGAAGGACACACTAACACTAGCGACAGTCCCTCCGCTCGGAGAGGATGGACTGGCCATGGACGTCGACCTTGTTCGGCTTCCCTTCTGGACCTTGAGGACCTCCCCCTCCAACATCAGAACCAGCGCACGAAGGCGGTCGACCTCGTCCTGCAGCTCCCCAACAATGCGCTCGGAATTCGCCAGCTTGGATGCGGCGACGACCTCCCTTAAGTTCGCGTCATCGACATCGGTGCACATTCGCTTCAGCTTCGCAACCATCGTGTGCATACGCTCAAATAGGACCCCTCTCTTTCTTGTGAGCTCATGCGCGTTCTCTATCATTCGACGGTGTACTAGTGCGAAGTCTCCAGCCATGTTCGGAACTTCGTCAAGAGGAATTTTTGCAGGGAAAGACATCGGCTCCATACCGACGGCTCGAAGGGAGCTCTGCACACACAGAACGACGAACGAAAGGCACAAAAAGATAAAGATAAACTCGCGCATCACAGCCAAACAACACACTTGCCGACCACCACGAGAAAAGACAATGACAACGACGAAAGGCACAATGAGGGGAGGCGTGGTGGGATCCGACCATCTCCACCACCCGCATCACAATGCCTAAATTCGTGCGCTGACCTCATTGCCCATGCGGTCGACCTTCCCCGCCCGTGTCCGGTCCACGTTCACCCCCATGGTCGTTGGAATCGCGCGTAGGGCGTCCGACTAAGGACCTTGTCAGCATGGCGAAGCATTGGAGCAAAGCGGTATTGTTGTCCGCCATCGTCTTGTTCAGCCCCTCCAACACAGTCACCAAAGTTCCCGCAAGCATTTTCGCTTTTTTTTTTTTTTTGAAACACAGCCCGGGAAATGCTAGTGGTGTTGGTAAGAGCAGACACCACTAGCACTCCGGGAAGGCTCCATCTATTGGTGGGGAGCAGCACTTGCTGGAAAACGGGTCCAGCGTCCCTTACATGATTAAGCTCGGTTAACAACCCAGATGCTGGAAACTAGGTCCAGCGTCCCATTAAGCTTCGTAACAACACCAATGCTGGAAACCAGGTCCAGTGTCCCATCCCAATCTCCCTGCATTCCTAGCTCTAGGTCCTAGGTCCGGAGCCCAGCCGAGGTCACTGGGGAGCACCAGTGAACCACTTTTGTTCCCCATCCCACCGAGCAGTCCCGCTACTCACACCAATGTTCCTGAAGATTGAGTACTAGGCGGGTCTTAAAACTGGACCGCCTGTCGGAAGAAGGGGTCCAATGTCCTCTACCCGATTGAGTTTGAAGAACAAAACCATAGATGCTGGAAACCAGGTCCAGCACCCCATCCTTTTTTAAGGAAAAAAGCAAATCTCACCTTTCAATGGGCCAGGCTTTTACTAACGACAATGGGTGTGGGGGGAACAGGTCTGGGAATTCCGATGCTGGCCTCATCGGGAATCCAGGGCTTATCACCAGCCACACCTTGAATCTAATCTTGTAGTCCCTTCTCACCTCTCCCCTATCCTCTTGTGGCTCATCCTTAGAGTCTCCCGACCATTCCACCTGGATTATCCATCCCTCTCTCTCCCCCCCCAACCATTTTCTGCAGACTATTTTAATACCTTCCCTTATGTCCTTCGGTTGCTGGAAAAGATCCAACTTAGTTTTAGTCGTCTGCCACCTGCTGGTTATTTCCAATTGAACCTGATCTTTAATATGTTTGCGTACTTCCTCCCCTCCCAGCCGCACCCCTTCCATTGCCTGGTCCATAAGATATTGTTAACGAACTCATCCCCGGGTTGTCCTACCCAATAGTCGTCCTACCCAATAGTCGTCCTAGCCAATAGCCTGTCAGGATCGCCAGTCATTCCCAAGGCCAAAAAGACCCCGGGACTATATATTGTGATGTCCGGTCCCACCGACGCCAGGTAAGGACAACATTAGGGCACTGTAGAAAGATATGTTCTATAGTCTCGACAACCTTTTTGGTTGGGTAGCCTTGGAGGCATCTGCTTCACCACGGAAGTGCACGGCCTTGCTGTTCCAGCCTCGAGTGGTCTATCAGCCAATTGTTAGTGGGTAGACATCTGTGGGTTATTTGCCATTGCAACGGGGTGATTTTGGCCGGCCTACTCTTGCTATCCCGAAACCATTTAATTGGGGACAGCATCTGCTTATCCACATTTAGATGTTTGTAAGCAGCGGTCATTGACTACGTCACGCAGATTCCGCCTTGGTCTTATCATCCGATAGGTATTCTTTACTATCAGGTTTTCCTGGGTTTTTTCTCGTTGGGCACGTCCTTGCGCCCGACTTGTCGATTTCCACCTCCATTCGATTGGATTCATGCCTAGCTCTGTGATTGGGGTTCCAGGTTTATATACCCAGCGGCTCTCTCCTTCCCCCATCACCCTGATTCGACAGGCCACCACCTCTTTATCTATCCAGGTAAAGGGGGTCGTACTGCCCATTAGCCTGCCTCCCTTTAATGGTCTATAAAATTCCACTAGTAGGTCAGTGGGTCTTACTATGTGCACCAGCCCAATCCGGTCCGGGGCCCCTTCCTGCATCACCCTGTCCCCTTCCTCGTATACAAGGCCTCTTCTCAAGATAGTGTAGCACTATAGGGGGAGGTCATCTATAACTCTTCCCAGGGCCTCCTCCACCTGATGGCAATAGCGCAGTCTAGCCTTCATCTATTCCAGGCTTTTCCATGTACCTGTTATTTCCTCTCATAGGTCTCCTACTCTCCATACCCCATGTTTGACCCATCCCCTCTATGGGGCATCCGAACTACACCTCACTTGTCCGTAGGAATCTGTGATCCATCGGTTGCCAATAAGGGGTTGACGGTATATTTCCTCCCATCTCTCCGGCTCGGGGCGGTCTGGGGGGGGGAGTTTCCGCCATATTTTGATCATACGTGGCCAGAGATCGTCCTTTATTGGCCCTTTTACTTTGTTAGCTTGCTTTCTGCTTCGTAAAAACAAGAAGCAACTTCAAAAACTTCAAAAAAGGCAAATCCGCTTACAAGAAACCCAGAGAGGGGAAAACAAATCCCACCACGGAAACCAACTAAAAACAAAGGGAGACCAGCCTGACCAGGAACAAATAAAAAAAAACACTATCATCCAAGTTGGCGCACTCTGCACATCCATCCAGCCATTTTGACTCACCATGAGGCTCACACGCCAATTGCACAGCACGCCTGCCACGCCTTAACATCATCTACATCATCTACAGAGACGTCCAGTCATACGGCGACTTGCAGTCATTACAAAACCAATCCTCATCTGAAACTTTATTCAAAGGTGGCGTCATGCAGAATATATGCGTACCGATTCTGCAGCTCCTCTTTCCCATATCATTTCCACAGAGAACTATCTTGTCCTCCTTGTCCTACTTACCGCAAAATCGGCAAGCAGGCACATCAACATTGGTACTTTCATCCCTGTCCTCCCTTTCTTGTTGAAAAGATGGCAATTGAGCGTCGTAATTTGCGGCATTGATCCTTGCCTTCTGTCTTTTGAGCGTTGTTTTCACAGACTCCTCTGTGGAGTAGAGAATGTGTTGTTCTCGAGGAGCCGAAGGTTTCAAAACGAAGTCCTAAAAGAACTCAGGAGTCACACACGCAATGCCGTTTTCCAGAAACTGCTCCACGTAATCATCATCGCGATCCGATACCTCCTTAATGATTGGGAAATCAATTCGTTTCGAAAATAACATGGTGTATAGTGGTTCCACTGCAGAAACATGCCCTCTGAGTCTACCAACATGTATTGCCCGCTTCAACGTGTCCATAGGAGGTTTTGTAAGCCCCTCTGCGCCATAGAAGACAACTTTCAACTCATGGAAAGCACCGCACCCAGTGTTTTTCCGCTGCTCTCTCCACTTCCTTGGGGATCTTAGATCTATTATGTCGTCAGCATTAGTGCACTCTTCAAACCATTCATGTTTCCACTCTTCAACAAAATACCCTGATTCATGAGATGCTAACAGGTAGTCTAGCTGCAACAACCACTTTCTACCTGCAACTGCTGCAAACACTTTCTCTGTCCACTTGGGAGCTTCTAAGATCAAGTGTGTGGCACTGTCCTTCCACGAATTCTCATTGCACTCTCTGCAGAGTCTCCCTTTCAAACGCTTGATGATCTTCATGGCATGCTCTTTCTCTCTATAATCCCCTGTGAGAGCAAAGCAAGCCTTCATTCTACTCCTACGCTTAACACCCCCCTCTCCATTCTCGCCCACTTTTGTTGCAACAGGCCCAACTAACCCATCATTATGGGCCTCTCTTTCCCCAGAGCCTCCTTGGTTGTCTTGCAGTCTCTTCTCATTAGTAGATCCAGATCCATCCTCCTCCAGACTTTCTGTCGGCTCCGCTGATGATCGTCGTCCACCTTTTGTCTTTCCCCTTCCCCCTCCCCTGCCAGGAGCTTTCTTCTGCACTCCTCTCCCTTTGGCTTTAGATGTCTTTTCTTTGGACACAAACTCCTCAACATTCACGTCATCTTTCATATTTCGCCTGATGTTTGCTCTTGCTTTGGTCTCTTCATGTACCTTCCTCTTTATCCTGTCTTGCAGACCATTCTCGTTTTTTGCTTCAATATCTCTGGCCTAAGCAACAACAGTACCACCTGGGTTCTTTTCATCCATATCACTCAAACTTGACACTGCATTGGTTGCGAGCCTTGTACTACTGTCAACATTGACACCTTTGTCATTGACCGCATCATTTTGTCGGTCTTCACGAATCACTATTCCAGTTCCGTCATCCTTTTCCCTCTGCCTTCCTGCTTTTGAGAATGGTTTCTTTAAACCGGATAGTTCATAGTTGTCGAACGTTTCTAGCCTTCCTTTTCCTCTCTGCATTTACCTCCACCCCCTCCTCTCCCTCTTTCGCTCCCTCCACCTGACTGATTCTCTGCCTTGCCCCTGTCACCCCTGTTCTTTGACTGATTATCAAGCATATCGCTACAATCATCCTGATCACCATCTTCAATACCTATCAGTTCTCTAGATGGGTCCTTCTCTTGGGAGGGGATCATGGGGAAGAGGTTCGATAAAAGGTTCAGGGAGAGGATATGGGCGAGGAACAGGAGGTTGTGCACAGTCAAAGGGGAGGGGTAGAGGTAGAGGTAGAGGTGGTAGAACAATGGCAGCAAGTTCTACTGTCCAAGGACCAGCGACGCCGAATCTTTTGTCAAGAGGGAGAGAAGTTTCGGAAGCACTTCTGCAGGCAAGTTCAGTGCCTAAGAATGGAGCAAAGGACGATGACAGCGTACTGGATGGCGGTGATGGGGAAGTTTCCAAAAAAGACGTCGGCCCTGAAGCAAACTTGGCAGAGAAGGGGGGAAGTCCGAGCACGGAGAAGGGTCGAAAACTTCTCCCTATGAAGAGAAACCTTGAAACAGACGACCCAACAATAGAAGGTGCCAGTGGCCGAAACTTGCAGGCAAAAGTTGGGACAAAAGGGGAGTCTGACACTAATGGAGCATCCGAAGATGACGACGAGAACTCGGTGTCGAGGGCAACCAAGGCAAATTGTGTTGGAGGTATATTGAGGAAGATAAAGGTTGCAGGCAAATTGATATCTGGTGCACTCACACAAAAGGGGGAAGAAGTTGTAAGAGGTGCTTTCACCTCGTGGACTTCATCGTGGCTTCGGAGATCGACTTCTTGCCAGTCATCATTCATCCTTCTCTTCTGCCCACGACTCCCTTGCTTCCCATCCATTGATACGATACTGTCCTTGCCTTTACCAATACCAGATTTGTCCGACACATCGCTTAAATCATCTACCGCTCTTTGAGTCCCTCCATCGTCCTCCGCCACCTGAGGTTTCCCACCTCCTGTTGACCAAAGGGGCCCATTATCTTCCAAAGCAGATGGATTTTTCCTGCTTGTCACATTGGCACAACTCATCCTTTCTGCGTTGCTGCGTCTTCTTCCATTCTTCTGGCCAGCTGCTTGATCATCTTTTAGCAATGATGTGTTTAGGGTTGCCAATGCAGTGTCAATGTCAGATCTCTGCATTTCAATGCTTTTTCTCTCCGCCGTTGAAACATCATTCATTCCTTCTGTGACAGAAGGCGCTATCTTTGAATTCTTCACCCCGCCGGGTCCGCCTTCACTTGCACCGACTGCTTGCTTCTCTATTTTCTCTTTCACATTTGTCGTGTCGCCAACTTTCAGCATCTGCTCGTCAGAATTTGTCACATCAGCACCTTCCTGACGACCTTCTTCCTTCCTTGCTGTGCCACCTCCTTCACCACTATTAACTTCAGAACTGTTTGTTTCGTTGTTCTTACCAAACGCACCTCGTTGCCTCTTAATCGTCAATGGCTGGCCACTATCACCATCATCCGTTTGAGTATCTTCATCACTAAGATCATGATTCACATCCTTCCTTCTATCCAGCACGGGTGTCCTCTCAATTCTTTCAACAACTGCTGAGATACCACCTCCTGATTCTCGTGTCTCCAAGGCAATGTCTTCAACTATCTTTGCACTGCTCGGTTGTTTGCCAGGATCAACCGGAGGGTCACCCTTCTATGTTGATTTCCCATTCCGAGAGCCTCTCTTCACATGACAATGTACAATTTCAACATTACCACCTGACAATTTCAGATTGTCGGTCGCCGATGTTTCATCCATACTGGGCCCAGCCGGCGATGACTCCTCTACTGGGTTTGCGGAACCCGGACAAACTGTTGATGAGACTTTCGAAGCAGTTGCAGCGCTCAACCTCTTTGATCTCTGTCTCAGAGTCTCTGCTTCAACACCACTTAGTTTGTAGTTCTCTACAGGCTGCAAGCTCCTCTACATCAAACTCTGTGAAACCGCTCGTTCATTGAACGCGGGTTTTCCATTCAGAAACTGAACGGAATGCACGCGTGTTCAATGAACGAGACCGAACGCGGAGTTCAATTCCACGCGGGGAAAAAAAAA